GACCGTTTTTCTGGAAAAACACTTACACTGTAGAAAATTCATAAGCAAAGTGTCTAATCTAGTACGACTTGTCAACGTGAACTCAACTGTCCAATTATCTCTGAGACAGAGAAGTCGTTATAAATTGGAATGTAACGCTACTAACCGACGCAGTCAGCATTTTTATGTCGAAGGCCAAGAAAAGCTTGGATCAGAAATTACAAATATTTGTCTAATCTTGTATTATTTGCCATAGTAATTCAATTGCTGAGTGGATGGCTTCCCGCTGTACCGAATTTTAGCTGCTTATCCTCCAGATATTGAGTATTGAATGATCAAATGAAAATCTTCATTTAACTGCTTTTTGCAGTGTTATGATCTTACAAATATACCCAGTGAAAAGTGATGTGCAAAATTTTGAAAAGAATATCAAAAACCAGTTGCGCTGTAGTGTAGAAAGATTGGTGGCAAATGGGCGTTAGTAGTGCAACGGGTCAGAGCACGCGCTTCCGGATAGAGTGAGATGTGGGTTCGAGTGCTGGCTGACGCGAAAGTTTTGCACATTTCTTTGCATCACTGAGAAGAGAATATAGTTCCGCTTTGGAAGTAATTCGACAGTTGCTTAAATTTCACAGCGGCCTTTTGGCCACTTATATAATAAGGATCGAATTCTAGAGGCACTCCATTTTTACAAAAGCACTGAGTCTCACCAAGGAAACTTTCATGAAAAGATTTTCAGTAAGAAAGAAATTCTATATGTACTAAGCCGCCTTTCTTATACGAAGGCTACATCCTTGCTAAAACATCGAATTTTCGACTTCGGCTTTATATTTCTTCAACGACGATGTAAGAATGTAAATCAAAATCACATAATCTACAATGCATAACTTTTGGAAGAATCTTATGTGGAGGCATTCTTAGTATTTTTTTTAGGTTAAGAAAATGTGGAAAGAGCACCCATTTATCATTGTGTGTAGTACTTCTTTGGAGAAAGCCAATATTCTTGATTCTTTGGAAAAAGCGAATAGTCTTGGCGCTATTGGACATCTTCTTAGCGTTATAGACCTTTTTCACTCAGATTATTCGTTTAGCTTTACCCTTTTTGTACAGATTTTGTACTTCGACATGGCTGTAGATGTCTTCTTTTCTTAGGTGTTCTAACTGCATAATTAAGGTGCAGAAGAATTCTGCTGTCTTAATCAAGTCTCACTGAACGAATTATGCAAATCACGACTAATGATTTACCCCATAATTGATGATGGCATTTAGCAGTGATAAAGTTATATTATGGAGCAGAATAACGCATTAGTGAGTGATGCACTGCATCAAGAACTAAGATAATAAGGAGGGCACTAGTTAGGCTCCTTTCCCTAGCGCTCTCTTGCAATCAGTAAACTGAACGCGTTTCGGCTGTCGTCAAGATTGCAAAGAGAAGTCTCGACGAGCATTCTTCAACGTTCATAAAGATTACAAAATCCTCAAACAGCAGCCGAAGCAACGCGTAAAAATATTCTTAAACCGTTGTGGAGGACGATACGAGCGAACGAATCGAATGCAAGAAGTGGTCGAATACGCAAAGTAAACTGTGATGATGGGAGATATAAATAAATATTAATAACACCAATTCTTGGAGAGTTTTTAACCATTTCGCCCTTTTCTTCAAAACACCACGATCTATACAATGTCGTATTTATTACTCATCTACAACAGCTAAGTATTTTGCACACCAGAATAATTTCATTACAAAATATTCAGAATTACTACTACTAAAGGTCTATGATCTCACCCAATAAAAAAGCATATAAAAAATATGTAAATTACTCTGGAAGAGTTCTAGGAGATACATCAAATTCTACAATGAAATTTCAAAAAATTCTCTTTAATGAAGACCACGTGATCGAGTAGTCGTACAAAATATTGGTGCCGAAGCAATCATTTGGCCGCCGTGCTTTTGACAGGAGATTAACCACTTGAATTCCTTCTGCACTTTTCTGTAAAAGTAAGCACGCAACATTAATTCTCTTATTAGGAGCTTTTCCTGCTCCCCGTGAGCGCTCTTCTAATCACATTTCATTTGGAAAACTTTCTTTGACTGAGGATCTAACTCGATGCAACACGTTAAATTTGAATAAGCGGGGGAAACTACCTTGTTCATTAGAAATTAAGGAAGTGTAATAGTGTTGTAGTAGCACACGGCAAGAACATTTTATGATAAAGAACCTCAAAGTCCCCCAGCAGGATTGAACTTCACTAGCATGAGATATGTCACTTGTATTTCTATAGACAGAGCCACCTGAAGTGACCGTTAAACGTTTGGTTTGTTAGAAGTGAAGGTAGGAGAAAATTACCCTGCGATGTGAATCTCACTTCCCCTTTTCGAGATTTTGGCTTGAATTCAGAGCAATCAACAGTAGAGGATAGACGATGATATTCGACAGCACCACAAGAAGACAAATAATGTTGCTCGCCCTTAAAAATAACTTAGAGTGTACGTAGCAGTTCTACTTGAATGAAATGCTGATTTATAGAGTTTTCATGAAATGAAGGAAGCTAAAATGAGATGTCTGTAAACCAAATCAATTCATAACGCAGTGCACCATTTTGTCATATCAGGTGTATAAATATGACTCTGACGATTTTTCGCTGTAATATGAGTAAAAAATAGAGAGATGTAAATTCTTCTTCCTTGTTCTAAAGTGCACTAATGTGAGCCGTGGCCTACCGACGAGGAGGGGGGTGAGGGCGAGATCTCCGAAACACGCGTGTATAGCCCTATTGTACCAACCTTGGATAAGGATTCAGACATTCTTATAAATTCCTTTTTATTCAGTTATTTTTTAGACCCTTTATCATCCGTCTTTTCAGTGTTTTTCACTATGCGAATCTCTACTTCTAGCATTGCAGTCGTTCTTCGCCTTCTTCTTGAATATCGTAGAAAACTGATTGCGCTCGTCTCCTTGCAATCTCGAGGATAGCCTGGCTGTGCCCTTCTGTAGGACATTCGTTGTTAAGTGCAGGAGAATGCTGAGTAGCGGGGCTTACCCCGCGCGTGATACAACTTTTTGAAATTTCATTCTGCCACAGTTTTGAACCTACTTCCCAAAATAACTTGGCGACTCAGAATTGTGGTTCACATTCAATGGAAGAGTATGCACACACTTCGTTGTAGAACTAGATTTATATGGTTCAAATTAACACTCAAGTCTGTCACAAATAACATTCTTCCTGACATCTAAAAAATTCGAAAAGTTTCGCAGATAGTCGACGAGAAAATCGGAAAGGTGATAGGAGAACGAGAAAGGGATGAAATGTACGAGATGCAAAAAGGCCGGAAAATCAGTACAATATTTTTTGACGGCTTGTTAGTAGGAAGTAGTGAGTAAAGTACCCCTAACGTGGAACTTCCTATGTTTGTATGTTTTCAGAGGAGATGTGGTAGTTATTATAATCGTGACACTTTTGCAAATCGACTTTTTTTTATAATCTAGCATGAGTAATCAGTATTCTTCTAGACTTCCGGTACACGCGAGATTTTATTCAAAATTTTTATTTGGCCAACGTTTCGGACCTCAGCACCTTCAGAGTTTTTATTGTTCAGGTCGATTTCTGCAATTTGTTCTTCCCTCTGGACTATGTCTTTGTAGCAAGATACAGCGGATTCCAGCCAAGTGTAGTCAAATGAATCAATTGTTGCGAACTGACTGACTATCTGTCAACATCATCATTCCAATTATTCTTAATTGATTCTTTGTAAGCCTAACAGGAGATATCTTTAAATCTGACTGTTTTCAAACCTCGCTTAAAATTTATGCATCTTGTCAGCACATAGCTTTTCATGAGATCTGTCATAGCACCTACACAGTGCAACACACGCGCTTCATCTTTACAGCCTCGTCAGTTGCACACTGCCTTTCGTATGAGTCGATCCCTTTCGAGGAGGATCCCTGCCCTCTCCCAGGCGCCACAACAGACCTCATGAAAGCCTTAAAATGTGCTACCAGGACCTATTAATTCTTAGCGAGGACTTGAAACATCGAGTGAAGTGAGGTGGAGGGAATGATATACAAACACATCTGTCCATCTCCTGTTGCGTGAACAAATGATCAGATGTTCGTAGAGATGAGCAACAGTCGAGGGTCTTATAACTCCCCGTGGGGTACCGAAAAGAAACTAGCTCCCGTTTCTGAACGTGCACATCAATCCTGAAAAACAAACATGTTTTTGAATTTTTGCGATTTGAGCTAATGAACGTTTACTAGCAATCTAAGGAAGGAGTTTTGCCCAAGCAAACATAAACGTGATAATGATTGAAGGCACTGCACGTGTGAAACATTAATTTATGTTGATTGCTACGTCGCCGTTAAAGAGCCTCTTCATAAAACTAGCAAATAGCGCAGTAGCTCGAAATTTGACCATTCGAGTGGTTTCTGAAACTCTCATGAAAGAAATTTTTCCAACAATAAGGGCAATTCTTTTTTTCGTGCAATCTCATAGAAATGTGCCGATGCAATATTGACGGTTGAAGGGCATTTCTAACACAACGGATGTATGTCAATGCACCACTGCACGACTGCTTATGGGTTTCGTTCTAAACTCAGGGAAAAACAGGCCATTCCCTCTTTTGGCGTTCAAAATGTGCTATGCACTTTTTAGAGAACTAGAATGGTATCCTAGCATCACAATATTATTTATATTACAACTTCGGCCCTATTTACTATAGTTTTTCGGTGAAAGTGTCTTGTATTTCCCTAACTAGCATGTTTCATAAGCTAAGCAATACATTTGTGACGGTCACATAAAGCAATTGACACTGTTTGTTGAAATATTCTAGAAAGTCCTTAATTTCCATGGTTCATACTTGTGTGTTTTCTAGCCATCTCTTGTTTGTTGTTTCTAGAGCATTTCTCAATTGAATACGACAATAGGTGAGAGAAAAGGACTCAGAACAACCTATTCATACGCCAGTGCATGCGAAGTTAATGAAGATATACCCAAAGATGTAGAGTAATGTGCTAAACTCTCGCGTCAGGCGGGACTCGAACCCACATCTCACTCTGTCCGGGAGCGCGTGCTCTAACCTGCTGCACTACTGAAGCCCATTTTGCACAGCACTGCACAATGCATCTATCTGTAAGCCGCCAATCGTCAACGGCCTGGCCCGGGTAGTCGTAGCGACATTGAAGCCAGTCACGGTGACAGATATTGGGTAATGATAATCAGATGGAATTCTTTCTAGTTAACCGCTTTTTCTTGTGGTGGCACGATGTCATAGATATACCCAAAGATGTAGAGTAACGCACAAAACTCTGGCATCAGGCGCGACTCGAACTCATCACTATCCGCAAAAAAAAAACGGTTAATCAGAAGGAATTTCATCTGATCATCACAACCCAATATCTGTCAGCGTGGCTGGTGCAATGTCAGTACCGACTACCCGGGCCAGGCTGTTGACGGCTGGCGGCTGTCGGATGGATGGTAGAAAGAGTGGTGTGCAACATGGGACTCAGTAGCGCAACCGGTTAGAGTCACGCTCCAGGACAGAGTGAGATGTGGGCTCGAGTCGTGCCTGACGCGGAATTGTACGTCTCTCTACATGTTTAGGTATATCTATGACATTGTACCACCGTAAAAAAAGCAAATAAACGAAAAGAATTTTATTCCATTTGATAATGACGATGCTCATATATAGAATATATTCCCTTTGAGATTGTATTTAGTTTGTACCAGCAAAATCTAAATGGGCTACCAAGGTCAAGTGGTTTTTGAAAGCTAATAATGATGGTTGAGTGACTCTCAACTAACCAGCCATGTGATGATTCACTTGTTCCAACTAAGACTGAATCGAGCTAAAAAGAAGCTGACAATGACGCTGATCGAGATAGCCAAGCCGAGGAGTGCTATGCAGCCAAGTACGAGATATGCTGAACGAGCTCCACAATCGCATAACCTTCAATGCTCTAAACAAAAAACTATTTTTTTCATTCTAACTTGTTTGATAGTTAATTTGATTAATTTGGTAAACTGTTTTATCGAATAAATTTATCGCAACGTTCACAGTTGTTCGTTTAGGAAAAGTTTTTTCAATAAAACAAAAAGTTAGCTTCAACGGTTAAAATTTATTGTAAAAGGCAAGCTGAAATGTGAGTAACTTACCAGCAAAAATACAGCATGTTCGACAGTTGAGCATAAAGCAACCGATAACATCGTCAGTCGGAATGAATTATTACTGCGGTAGAGATGAATGTTTTGCCTTCCATTGTTGTTCCTTCAGCAACATTATTATACTATTCAATGAAAACACCCAGTGATAATATCCACTCGAGCTGCTTGCAATAAATAAGCTTCTCTTTGTCTCTTCGGAGAAGGCTGGCAAACCATACAGTAAGTAGTACGCAACCTTTACGTTCAATGCTCAGCATCCTATACGTTAAACAACGATATCTCCGAACTATCTATGCTGTAATTTGTCCTAATCGTCGGGGCTCTTAGGAATGTTCTTTTATGAAAAAACGTCGATACTTCAGTTGATACGCTAGCGCGTAATCTAATAATCCATAGACAACCTACGATATCGCTTAAATATGCAAAATGCTACAAAGCAGGTATGGTTGAAGCTGTGAAAGCAGGGAAATGCATTTACAAAGTCCATTAAAACTTTGCCAAATACAGTACCAAGACTACTGCACTCCGACATCCTGACGGAATAGTTAGAGCTTTCCAAAGGGAAAGGAAAAATCATTTGTTATTACAACATGGATTTCTCCAATAGTCACTTTCACCTATCGTCATAATGCGATAAATAAAGTAATATTAATCAAGAAAGAACGACGAATTTGTTGGTCTGTCCTCTAGAGAAGGATCAAACATCACTTGACCCGATTTGAATAAGACCTAAACGTCTAGAAACCTCTCACCTGATCTCATCAACAAACTCCGCTCGGATCTTCACTAGTTGACCATCAAAATGCAAGGTTTGTAGTCAGTGAAAGACCGATAAAACCTCTCGTGATTTACTACTTTGAACATAGCGGTCACCAGGGACGATTATTGTACCTGCGCGCCACATTACAAGATCCTGAAAAAGTTTCTATCTGCGTTAGCAGAGTGTAAGTCATGAATACGTTTGCTCATAGTCTATTAGGATGAGTGAGAAAACACCTGCATTCTTTTGATGTTCTGATGATCTTGTTATATGACCAAACATGTTTTCATCATTAATGCATATTTTCCCAGTTCCTGAAGAATGGTTCGGATTTGAAGATCTGAGCTGCGTTGCCGAGTAAACAATATAGAAGTCATTTCAAATTTAAAAAGATTTTTTTACTGCTCTGTTCTTTGTATGCGGCAATCTTAACGTGTTCTTTTTTTTTTTTGCTGCGCCTAAGCTGCATAACAGATCATTGAGAGGTTTGCTGAATTGAGGTTATTGATAAGAAATTTTGGATTCGTTGGTCGTTCTGTTGTTTCAGGGACTGGACCAAATGCTCCCATAGCACCATGCTTCCGTTTACTGTTGAATTCCTTCTTCATGCTCTTCTTTACTTTTACTGAACGATCAAGATATACACACATGCGACTAGTTCTGAGGAATCTCTGAAGATTGCTTGTAATAATGCTAAAACAGTTTCTAAAAAGAGATAATACATTATTCCATTTTCACTTAAGATTTTAACACGAAAATTGAACCCAGAAAACATCCGAAAAATGTGACGTTAGAATCCGTGGATTCGAACGGATGACAGTGAAAATCATGTGTACTAACTCTCAACTTCAAAAAATTAGTTCTCAGTAGTGGACGCGAGGGTCTTTCAATGTAGGGTACCATAAAGAAATAGACCAGATTTTCGTTGATTGTAGACTTACGAACAGATGTTGCTGTTATTCCAAAATTTTACAGGAGATTAGATCACCGCCCTCCTTCACGCAGGGTTCCACTATTTGACGGAGAGTATGCCGCTAGAGTACTATTCAGTTATGAGAGAACAAATGAAAAACCGATCTCATTCGATGGAGAGGAAATTTTCACAGGTGTGTTAGTAACTATCCGAAAGCTGAGAACATAAACTACAGCCAAACGCGCTGGTTTTAGCAAAATCCTTTTCTTGACGCTGCTACAGAAGGAGATTTCTCGCGTTGCAGTCACGTATATTTCTCGCCGGGTAGAGCTCTTTCGCTGGACTATTAGTAATCATTCGATATCTCAATCGTTTCTGATTCCAGCGCTGCGCTTATATCCTGAACGGACTGCTTCTCTGAAACGCAGCAGGTCAAAAAATGTTTGAATTCGCATGTGTGAGTAAGAGGGTCTTCATCTAGTTCACGTAATTGTGCGTGAGGAGCCACGTGAACTGGTGACGCGATACTTCTCTACGTGTTCATAAGCCCGAAAATCGATGACCATCGCGTCATCGGACGTGGTCGCCTCACGCACGAGCACGTGAATTGACCAAAGACCCGCTTGTTCAAGCATGCGAATTCAAATTATTTTACATTTTGCATTGCGAGGAAACGGTCTTTTGAGGATATCATCACAGCGTTGGAATGAGAAACGATTACATTGTCGTACAAATACTAATAGTCCAAATAAAGAGCTCTGTCCGGCGAGAAATATGCGCGTTTGAGACATAGCGAATTGTGGATTTTACAGCGTTATAAAGGGTGTTTTTGTAAACCGGCGACGTGGAGTTGTAGCATAGTCTCAGCTTTCGAATGTTTACAAAACTTCTAGGAAAAGTTCCTCTCCAACGAATGAGGTCGGTTTTTCATTTATCCTCTCATAACCACAACAAAGCCCCGATAAGATTTAAAAAATACACTACCATAAGCATTTTCAAATTATTATTTGTCTTCTGGGTCGATCCTGCTGCCTAAACAGGATAAGACCTAAACATATGAAAATCTCTTATGAGTTCTCATCAACACACTGCCTCAACTCTTCACAAGCCTGACAAAATGCTAGGTCTTTTGCCACAAGAACCAGCAGCACCGTGTCATTGTTCAAAGGGAGATCTCTACAATATCAGGAAGTACCGCCCAATCAGCTCAATAAAACTCGTCTATTGACTCTTCACTTGAGCATTCCAAGTAGGATTGGAAGAATACTGGAGAGAAATCAATTATGTGAGCAAACACGGTTTAGAAAGGGATTCAGTATTATAGACCACATCTAAACGATAACAAGGCCTATTTTTATTTCGCGGCAGACTGCTCTGCATCACTTTGATTGGTTGGACAACGCCTTTGATTCAGTCGAAACAGAAGCAGTTCTAGAAACTGGGGACAACCAGAGCTCCCCTACGCAGTACTTCAAGGATTCTTTGTGAGCTACATATGGATTTCATTACCAAAATATCACGACGTCAGCAAAACGGTCAAACCACTTTGTGTCCACATAGCTCCATAATACTCGTCATATAGTAGGCTCAACAGCACAACAATGCCTAATTTGCAGTGACTGTCACGACCTAAACGCAAGAGTGACTAAAATAAGCTCACAAAAATCTTGAAGCGCTCAAATAACACGTTAACAATCCAAAAATAAATCGTGAACACGAATGCATTATTATTACGCGAGATTTAGCACCTCTTCTGCGCGCGATCTTGCGGCCTAGCTTGTGAGGAGGATTGAAATTTTATCGATAATTTCTTGTGTTAAACAAATAATGTTACGCACACGTCCAGGCTTTGTAATAGGCTAAGTCGCAGAATCGCTGGCCATTGCACGGCAACAAATTTTCTGATTGACAATTAAGTAATTGTTGATTTGAGAACGGTTGTTGAAACTGCGACGTGCAACGCGATCCGAATACGAATGGAGTTCTTGAGATTTACTGATACCAATTTAAGCCGAGTTTTATCGAGAGTAAGTCTTTTGGATTATTTACGAATGCTCCATTAATCTAGATCGGGTAATCAATATAATCAACAGCTTAGCTATAGAGTAGCAAGGAATGGACGCACCGAGTGACTTGGAGAACGTTGCATAGAGGACGTTGTGAAGAGATGTGTGCTCATCTTTTCGACTCAACGATTCTGCTTTGACAAATACGTCATATATCCGATCGCTGTGTAAACAAGATAAAACCTTTTAGCGTTA